CTCGAAAATGGATAAATTACAATTTCCACCTCTGAGGTTTGGAGTATTTACGAATTTGCATCATGTTCGTTTCCCACAGGCAAGCCGAACCAACCCAACTCCACCTTGTCGTGGAAGGCCCGTCTCAAGATCGCCAAATGCACGGCCCGCGGGCTGGCCCACCTCCACGACTGCAGCCCGCGCAAATTTGTCCACGGCAACATAAAGCCTTCCAACATCCTCCTCGACAACGATCTCCTGCCAAAAATCTCCGACTTTGGCCTCAGCCGCCTCATCGCCATCACCGGACACAACCCTTCCTCCGGCGGGACCTTCCCATACCTCAACCCACCGCAGCCCGAAAGGGCCATAAGCTATTGGGCCCCCGAGGCCCGGGCCCAAAAGGCCCGACCCACTCAGAAATGGGACGTCTACTCATTCGGGATCGTCTTGCTGGAGCTGCTGACCGGAAAGTCCCCAGAGCTTTCTCTTCCGGCGAGCTCGAGCTTGACCTCGGCCGAAATTCCAAATATCGTACGGTGGGTGAGGAGAGGGTTCGACGAGGAGACTCCGCTTTCGGACATGGTGGATCCCATCTTGCTGCAAGAGATACGCGCCAAGAAAGAGGTTTTGGTGGCGTTTTCTGTTGCGCTCGCTTGCACGGAGACGGACCCTGAGGCTCGACCGAGGATGAAGACGGTGTGCGAAAATCTCGACAAGATTGGAAGTTGATGGCAAAACTGTGATTTTTTTTTTCTTCAAATAGTAGTTTACTGCATTGATTATTCATACTGAGTTGAGATGAGGAGAATGTTTTAGCTATATGTTTATGTAATTTATCTTGTGATTGGTTTATGTGTTTTGTAGGTATTTGAATTTTTGTGAGTTTGGGACAGAGTAAAGAGTAGTCTTTAATCCATTGAGCTGAGATTATTGTTTGCTGCAACAATTTGGACAGAGCTTACAATGGTCAAGCCTTTAGGTAAAGTCTAAAAACAAATAGAACAAATGTTTGGTAATTAATTTTTGGGTAAATAATTATTTGCAACATGAACCTAAAGAATTTTTTGTCCTAAATTGCAACTTATAATACACGATTAGTCAGTATCGCAACCTCCGATTATCAGCGGCTCATTTTCCACTGAAAAAACGAGCGTGCGAGTCACACGCTCGAAACTTGAGGGTGAAATTGCTATTTCATCTTATGTTTGAAGGACAATTTGGCCATTCATCATCTCAGCATGGGTGAATGTAAGCCACATGACCTTGGTAGGTGAGATCAACGGTAGAAAGCATGGTCTTGGAAATAGAGAAAGACATGGGTCAAAGAGGCATTCAAACACCAAGTCCCTCTAGTCAATAGAGGGTTGACCGAGCTTAAAGCCGTGTGAATTTGAAGCATGCCCGGTAACTTCACAGTAGCAAAATAAAAATAATATGATTAAATAATACTTAGCGGTGACGAGACGCACGAATATTGATATTTAGTCTACGTGAATTTCGTTTCGTATGCTCGTAAATATGGAGATCAATAGTTGATAGAGATTCATATAGCACCGAACCAAACCAACCGGGCAAAGACTCGTGGGACAAGGGTCGAATGGGCCTAACGGCCGAGCCGAGTGATAAGGGTAGTGGAGGGTTCGACCGGCCACTCGGTCTAACATAGGTTTCAGGTCGAAGGGGGGTTCGACTGGCGCAAGCGGTCGAACAAGAGTTTAGGTTCGACTACTCGACCAGGAGCGAGGAGGGTCGAATGTCGACCCATATGATTGGTATCGACCAAATCACACTTGGTCGGTGGATATCCGAGGACTTATAACCCTAGAGGGGAGTCCGTACGATTAGCGATGTATATATATATATATATGTTGAATTCTACCGTTAAAGGTAAGATACATTTAATGCATTCATTGTCACATTTATTACTCATTAGATATTGACTTGGGTGTCGAAGGGTTTTGGGCCGGATCAATTCCGGCGCTTTTGCAGGTACCGACGAATTTGTGTGCTTGGGCCGAACTGAAACAGCTAGTCCACGATTCAAATTAGAGAGGACCCTTCGAAGGACCAGAGTCATTTTATTTCGGACCATATCACAGTTGATATCATCTTAAAATTTGATGTTTGCTCTGGTCTTTGTTTGTCCTAGGATTCATATGATACTATAGCCATGAGGCACTAAGGTTCATGGTGCATTTTTAATTTTTGGACTACACATTTGTAATTTACATACTATAACTTTTTATAAGCTGTATTATTTATATTATGGATGATGAGCTAGAGTTTTTTTTTTTTTTAACTTTACTTTAAAACTCACATTTTCTACCACTGATTCGCACTGATATTCAATCTTATTCGATCAGATGGAAGAAAAAATTATGATTGTAAATATCTGATAAATTAATTTTGATAGTTAGGAGAGATTCGTGGAATATATTTCACCTTTCATCATTAATTTATTAAAAAATAAATTATAATAACTAGTGAGTTTTAAGATGGAAGAAAAAATACATAAAAAAAGTATCATGATGATATCCACCTAACAAGAATGAACAAACACAAAATAAAAAATATGAATATATTTTTTTTTTGGTACAAAAAAATAAATAAATAAATAATATGAATATTGATCCATATAAAATTGAACGTAATTTAGTTTGGTGATGCTGACATGTTGTGATCACTAAATTTATAATTAATTGAAATTTTTAAGCTAAAAAAATACAGTAAATGTTGTTACAGAATTTAATAAAATATTATATTATAAATAAAACGCATGATATTTTGTATTATAAATAAATTATTGTGTTAAAAAGTTTGGCCTCCTAGAATTA